GGCGGGAGTGCCGCCGCGCTTCCCAAGCGGCGCACTATCTAGTGCGCCACCGGGCCGGCCCAGTCATTCTCATTTTTAATAGCCCATATGAAGGGTCATCTCTGGAGCAGCACTATCCAGTAGAACTTTCTGCAGTGATGCGAATGTTCCATTGTCTGCACTGTCCAGTACAGTAGCCGCTAGCCACCTGAGGCTATTGAGCACTTGAAATGTGGCTACAAGGACTGAGGAATCTAATTTTAAATTTTATTTCATTTTAGTTATTTGAAATTTAAATAGACACCTGTGGCAAGTGGCAAGCATATTGGATGGCACAGCCAGTCTGCAGCTTCACTTTTAGATGCCAGACAAGGACACCAGTAAGAAAGTGTAGTTCCAGGGAGATGTGACTCTGGAGGCTTCACTGTTTCCCAGAATGTGGAGATTATCTATGCAGGATAACTTAGAAGTTCTGCCTAAAAGCTGTTTCTAATTTGAGCTCTCTTGCATGTAGCACAGCTGGCTGTGGCCAGTTGAAGAGCCCATATCTTAGAAAAGCTCCCCACAAAGGTCCCCATTGGGCCTGCAACCTGGAAAAGAGATAGAATCAAAACCATTAGAGCTGAAAGAGACTTCAGCTATCATCCATGGCTGGTGGGATTCACAATGGTACAGTTCTCTGCAAGGCATCTGGCATTATCTATCCAAATTACAAATACCTTTATCCATTGGTCCTGCAGTCCCACTTTTAGGAATTTATCCTACAGATAACCTGCATATGCAAAATGACAGATATGAGGTTACTTATTACTGCATTGTTGAACAAACAAAAGATTGGAAACAAACCAAATGGCCATCTACAGGGGACTGGTGAAACAGAGTATGGTCCATCTGCACAGTGGAATATTATTCAGCAGTAAAAAAAGAATGAGGATGCTTTCCAAGTATTGTTATGGAAAGAGCTCCAGGATAAATAAAGTGAAAAAAACCCATGATACAGATCAATGCATATAGTTTGCTACTGTGCAAGAACGGAAAGATATAAGAAAATATATTTATATTTGCTTATATTTGTATAAATAAAAGCTAGGTAGAGACTAAGAAACTAACTGGTTTCCCTGAGGTAGGAGGATATGGGGAGCAGCTGGACTAGGAAAGATTTCTCAGTGGTACCTTTTAACACTGTTATGACTTTTGAAATGTGTAAGTGTATTACTTACTCAAAACTAAAAGGATATAACACACTACAGAGATAGTAAAAAGATCAGTGGTCGCTAGGGACTCAGGAGAGATGGTGGAGCCCAGGGGATTTTTAGGGCAGTGAAACTTCTGTAAGATACAGTAATGGTGGACACATGACATGTGCATTCCTCAAAACCACACGAATGTACCACACACTGTGAACCCTAATGTGAACTATGGACTTTAGTTAATAGTAACGTGTCAGTATTGGTTCATCAGTTGTAACAAATGTATCACACTGATGCAAGATCTTAATGATGGGGAAAGTGTGTGAGGTGGCAAGGGGAAGATGGGAACTTTGTACTCTCTGCTAATGTTTCTCTAACCCTAAAATTTTTCTAAAAACTAAAGTCTATTAAAAGAGTAAAAGTAAAATTATAAAAAAAAAGAAAAAGAGGCTTTTAAATCAACCCATCTGTTCTATTTGGGAAAGGTACTCTGTACTACATGGGACTTAGAACATTTATCTGAATGAATTTTCCAAAATGAATTTTGTATTTTTTTCCAAGACAAAAAAAAGCAAGTTTTAAATACAATAAAATTGAAATGTTTAAATATATCTCTCAAATTCAGTACTCGTTTCTTTTGTTTGGGAAACTTAGGGCAAATTTTCATGTCAGCCAAGCTGTCACGGATTGGTTCTGTGTAAGCACAACCACTCAGCTCACCACCACCAGTAAATATTTACTGACTGTATTCTGCACCAGGCAGTCTGCTAGGTGTGGGTAGAGGCTGGGACACCCACCAGTCGCTGTAATATTGCGATCAGTGCTGTAATGGGAGGGAGCAAGGAACATGGGATTGACTTTTCCTTGGGGAAGCTAGGGGGAGGAGGGGTCTGAGAAGCTCACAGAGGAGACAGAAATGGGGAAAGGACAGTCCAAGCAAAGAGCCCCACATGTGCAATGGCACAGAGTTGTGGAGGAACACAGGGAGTGTGGGAGGAGGGCAGAGATGAGCTGAGGGGTGTAAAGGGGTGCTGGCAATTCCTTCCCCACCTTTAATAAAAAATTTTGTGTCATATTGTAAGGTAAAAACTGAACGGAATAGACTCCCTCTTTGGAAATGCACATCTGCCTCTCCTTTTAGAGTATACTTTACCTTGGTAATTGTGACTCTTCTTGTTTTTAAAATGTATATTTAAATCCTTTTCCAATGTATATTTACTTTGTTCACTGTTATTCCCTCCCCTTTCAAGATACTACTTAAAACCCATTCAAATATGAGTTCACGGAAAGATACATATTATCTTTTAATTCTATTTTTCCAGGAACTTTTTGAGGTACCCTCATATTCTCTGGAAGTTTATATACTTACAGTACAAGACTTTCTCCTGTGGATCCCAAGATGATCCCTGGAGGGGAGGGGGGGCAGGCCCTGGGTGCCGTGGATTGAATGGTCCCCCAAAGTCATTGGAGCTTAATCCCCATTGTAAATGTTGAGGGTGGGAAATCCTATTACGGTAATTGAAAGGTGGGGCCTTGAAGAGATGATTAGATTTTAGGGACTGTTGGGTGTGGTTCTGAGGGCTTTAAAAGGAGAGCACATGAGAGTCTCTCTTTCTCTGCTTCTACCATCTCGCAGTGTGATACCCTGTGGGCTGAAATTACCACTAAGGAAGATCCTCACCAGATGTGTTCCCTGGACTTTAGACTTCCCAGCTTCTACAACTGTAAGCAATAATTTTTTTTTTTTTTTTTTTACAAAGTACCCAGTGCCAAGTATTTCCAGCAACAGAAATATACTAATACACTGGGCTCATATCATGTATCAAAATGAACCCATAAAACTCACCTGTTAAGAGCTGAGGTGAAGGAGTCACCAGATATGACTGGCAGTTGCTCCCCTCTTTTCTTCCTCTGAGCAGATCTTCTGCAAAGGGTAAAAGTCCTATCACAGAGTTTCTGAAGTTGTGGTCTAATTTCCACAATGGAGGTCTCTGTTCATACACTGGTGAGTGACTCAACCAGACCTGTGTGTGGACAATGTGGAGGCTGGATGGGAGTGGGGCAGGACGGCTGGTACAGCCAGTGAGGAGCCTGGGCAGGAGATGCCAAGGCCTGGTCTACAGCTAGAAAGGGTAGGTTTGGAAGAAAGCTGCCAGATCTCTGAGAGTCAGGATGTGGGTGTGGTAGATGTGGAAATGTGCTGCTCAGACCCCCTCTTCTTCAAGGAAGGCCTTAGTACCCAGCTGCAGGGAGTACAGTTGGCCCCAGCTATGAGCTCCTGCAGGGTCTGCCTCAGCTGCACAGAACTGCCACATGTAAGGCCATGCCCTCTCCAGGGCAGCCTGCATCTGGGAACTGAGCAAGGCAGCAGGCATAAGGGCTCAGCCAGTCAGCCCTCCATGAAAATATTGCAGCGGGCACTACTAGCTGCAGAGCTCCCTGCTCAGTGGTAGGTACTTGGTCAGGCCTGCACTACAGCTCATCTTCTCCCTCTGCCCAGCCCATCTTTCTTTCACAGTTGTTAGTCCTTAATAAACACCTTGCACCCAAAGTTTCATCTCGGCATCTGCTTCAGCCTGAGACTCAGGGGTAGAAGGGTATGGGTGGGGGTACAAGATGGTGGAGTTTCTAGGTGGGGAATTGGAGGAGCAGTGATGCCAGGAACTGAGATGATGGGCCCAGGAGAAGAGGGGAAGGTTTGGGCAGTGGGGACATGGGTGCAGTTTTTCCAGGTAGTGTCTGGAATGCTGCTGAAGGGTGGCCTAATACATAGGACTGAATAGGCATGAAAGGCCATCACTCAGAATTGGTCAGGGCTGGTAATGGCAGCATGTAGGCACCAGGGTGTAGAGGCAG